TCCCCTAGCCTTGCTTCTAATCTCTTCCTCTTCCTCTGTTTCTCTATTTTTCCCCCAACACCTTTTAAATTTTCTCCCCTGAGGGTATAATCACCATAGAGGACAGATTTACTGTATAAAATTTTCTGGTTCATTTTTAGATTTTGTTATATAACCACAAGTCTAGTTCATATGGTTAAAGGTGGCAAATTAATAGTTACCACAGTTTGTCATCTTCTAGGCTGTGTGTGAAACTATTGCTACTGCTGATTATACCACTTTGGCCAAAGTGACATAATTGTTCTAACCAGCTGTTCTTCCTGGTATAAAGACTGAGATTATCAAAAAGTCATAAAAAATAATATAGGCCAGTGGAAAAGAAGCAGGAGCTATGCCAAATAGGCAGCAACTTCTCATCCCCAATAAATTAAAGTGGTAGGATCTTGCAACAGACTCAAAACCCAAAAGCCATCTACACTTGGAAGACATATCTGAGAAGTAGTCATTTCCTAAAGGTTCTAAACACTAGCGATAAAACTACTAGACATAAGCAATCTATGAGCGCTGACCTCTGAATTAAGCTAAAAAAGAATAGGAAATAAGAAGACAAGCACGATGCAACTCCCAACTTCCAGCTCACTAAAGGCAAATCCAGGAGGTAAGGACAAAAAAGTCATATCAGAAATAATTTCTCGTAACTACACAGATTGGGACCATAACGCAAGAGCTGCTTGGTGACTGTAGAGCAGAAATACATTAAAAAAAAAAGAAGAGCTTAGGAAAACCATGGAAACCATGAATGCCCAACATAGGAAAAAAATGGAATCCATGACAGTCAAACAGATATCCAGGAGATTCAAAATTCCATTAAAAGTATACACAGCAGAAGGAGTCAATGTGAGGATGGAATATCAGATATAGAAGACAGAGCTGGGCGTGGTGGCACATGCCTGTAATCCCAACACTCGGGAGGCTGAGGCAGGAGGATCCTTGCAAGTTCAAGGCCAGCCTGAGCTACAAAGTGAGCTCAAGGCCAGCCTGAACTGCATAGTGAGACTGTCTCAAAAAGACAAAAAAAAGACAGGACTGCACTTAGCAATCATGAAATGAAAGATTTCTTAAAAAGAGCAAGGAACATGAAAAAGCTCAATCTAACTGCTCCTAGGTATGCAAAGAATAACAAACATTGATCAGAGTCAATGAAAGAGCAGGAGATAGCACAAATGACAAAAACATCTGTTCACGGAAATAATGACAGAAAATTTCCCAAACACGGAAAAAAAAAATTGACATATGTAGATAAATGAGGCATATGGAACTCCAATTAGGCATGGTCAAAAAACCACAAAAATTCCACATCAAGGCATACAAGAGTCAAGATTCCCAAAATTCAACACAAGAAGAGAATACTAAAAGCTGTTAAGAGAAAAGAAACAAGTCACCTAGAAAGGACAGCCTCTCAGGACCATTGCAGACTTCAACACAAACCCTCAAGAGTCAAGGAGAACTCTGAGTAAAGTATTTAAAGTCCTAAAGGAACATAACCTCCTTTTTTCTTGCCCTCTCTTTCTTTGTCCCTTTTGAACTCCTGCCTCAGGCTGCCAGAGAGCTGGAACTACAGGCATGTGCTACCAGGCTGGGTTTCTTTTGGGTTTGAATATATCAAATAGGCAGCCTCCTGTGTAAAGTTCTTGACATGCCATTGCCCTTTTTTTTTTTCATTGCCCTTGTCTTAATTACTCTTTCCCCTTCTTTGTTTTACTCCTACTTAGCTTTCAAATCCCAATTCAAAGGCTGAGGGTGTGGCTTAATGGTATAATGCTTGCCTAGCATGTACAAGGCCCTGAGTTCAATCCCCAAGACCACCAAAAAAAAAAAATCCCAGTTCTATTCTCACTTCCTCAAGAAAGCATTTCCCAGTCCTCCAAATTAAGTCAACTTCCACTGTCCAGTTTCCAAAACACTCCTTTACTGAGTCACAGTACGCAGCAATTCCTCTTATCAAGTGTATCATTATGGGGAATGCAAATCCCAAGAACACTGAGATATGCTTCACAGTCATATGGCTGCCACCAAAACAGAAAAACTGAGTGCTGACAAACACTAGGGGGAGAGGGGTTGGAACCCTTCCACAGTGCTGGTGGGAATGTAAATTGGTACACCCACTTAGTAAAAAAGTATAGAGGGTCCTCAAAACACTAAACAGTGATACCATTTGATCCAGCTATTATACCACTCCTTGGAATCTACCCAGAGGAATAAGTATACTACAGGATACTTGCATATCCATGTGTACTGAGACATAATTCACAATAACCAAGATACAGAGCCAGCCTAGGTGTCCACCAACAGATGAACGGATAAGCTGGGCATGGTGGCACCTGTAATCCCAGGAGGATCACTGAGTTTGAGACCAGCCTGGGCTACAAAGTGAGCCCAAGGCCAGCCTGCACTTCATAGTAAAACCTTGTCTCAAAAGACAAAAAAAAAAAAGAAGATGAATGGATAAAAGAAAACTGTGATATATGTAGTACCCCACTATCACAAATATATCAATTAGACAAAAAAAAAAAAAAAATCAGTAATGTAATATTAGAACTGTACCAAACTTTTGAACAAATGAACTTAGCAGATGTTTACAGGGCATTCCACCCCACAACATTAGAACACACATTCTTCTGAGTTCCAAAGGAGATGACCTACTAGCTCATAGAACATGCTTAAGTAAATGCAAAGGAAATGAAATTATCCCATGCATATTATCAGGACTGAGTGCAATGAAATTGGAAATCGAACACAAAAGAAAGCATAAGAACTTCATAAACACATAGAAATTAAATAATGCCCTGCTGAACAACCAAGGGGTCACAGATGAAATTAAAGAAGACAATAAACAGTTTCTGCAATTAAACAATAATGTCAATAAAACACACCAGAACTTATGGGGTGCAATGAGAGCAGTCCTACAAGGGAAATTAATAGCTGAGAATGCTCACATCAGCAAAAGAGAGCTAGCTCAAATAAACAACCTAATATTGAACCTCAAACTTCTAGAAAAAGAACTAGTCTAGCCCAAAGCTCATACAAGGAAAAATTATAAAGATAAGAGCAGAAATTAATGCAATGAAGACTAAGAAAAAAATAAAAAGAATCAATGAAGTTGGTTCTTTGAAAGATTAAATAAAACTGATAAAATCTTAGCCAATTTTATCAAAGAAAAAGGGGAAAGAAACTACTTAATCCTTGTAATTAGGAATGAAAAGGGTGAAATCACAACAGACCCCACAGGAATCCAGATGATCAATACCTACTTTTAGAACCTGTACTCTAATAAAATGGAAAATGCAGAAGAAATGGACAGACACATAAATAATATGAATTACCAAAATGGAATCAAGAAAACATAAAAATTCTAAATAAACCAGTATCAGTCAACGAAATTGAAATAATTAAAAACCCACCAAGAAAGAAAAGCCCAGGCCCTGACGCATTTACTGCTGAAATCTACAGGAAATTTAGAGAAGTCCTAATAATACCAATACTCCTCAACCTCTTCAATAAAATCGAAAGGGAAGCAATACTCCCAAATTCATGCCTGGAGGCAAGTACTACTCTGATACCAAAACCAGCGAAGGATCCAAATAAGAACTACAGGCTAGTCTTCCCAATGAACACAGACACAGAAATCCTTAACAACGTGCAGGCTAACAGAATGCAGCAAATCATCAAGAAGATTATACAGCGTGACCATGTAGGATTCATCCCAGGGATGCAAGGATGGTTCAACATGTGTAAAATCAATAAATGTAACACACCATATGAACAAAAAACATGATCATCTCAAAAGATGCAGAAGTTATTGACAAAGTCCAGCACCCACTGCGATAAAACCCTACAGAAAAATGGAATAGATGATCTTCCTCTCAATCTGACAAAAGCCATTTCCAACAAACCAGTAGCCAATATCATATTAAATGAACAAAAACCAAAAGTTTTCACTCTAAAATTAGAACAAGGATGTCTACTGTCACTACTCTTATTCAATATAGTTCTGGAAACATCAGCCAGAGCAATTATTTTTTTTTCAGCCAGGAATCAAACTCAGGACCTTGCACTTGCCAGGGAGGTGGCCTGTGCCACTGAACTATATCCCCAGCCCCTAGCCAGGGCAATTAGACAAAAGAAAGAAATAAAAGGAATAAGGGTAAAGGATGAGCTAATGATAGAGGACCCCAAAAATTCCACCAAGAGACTTCTAGATTTAAGAACAAAATTTAGTAGCACAGATGGATAGAAGTCAACACTCAAAAATCAATAGCATTCTTGTACACAGTAATAAATTCACTAAAATAGAAATCTAAAATTACACTACAAAGCTACCATGTTAAAATAGTATGCTATTGGCAGAAAAACCAGACCTGAGGATCAACAGTACAGACTGGAAGATGTAGAAACAACTCCGTACACACTCAGCCACCTTACCTTTGACAAAAGGGCCAGACACCTCCACTGAAAGAAAGATCGCCTCTTTAACAAATGGTACTAGAAAAACTGGTCAAACATTAAAACTAGACCCATGTCTCCTGCCATGCACTAAACTAAAATCAAAAGATCAAAGATCTAAATATGGAAACAGAAACACTAAATCTGCTGGATGAGAGAATACCTAGAACACTCAAAGGACATCAGTGTAAGGAAAGGCTTTATGAATCTCATAAAGTGCCCCGATCTCAAAGGAACTATCACAAAAACCAACAACTGGACCCTCTCAGGTCTCCTCCTTCGAAGGAATCTCTCTTAGCCCAGGGAGCTCTGGAGTAGCGCCCTCCTCCTCTCCGAGCCTGGGCACACAGCGCTTACTGTAGCAGTCTCCTGTGCTGGTTTTATGTAAGTTACTGGTATGATTCTCACACCAGACCATAGACAGGGGTTGGTATTTGATGAGACAAAAAACAGTGGCTTAGTTTCAAAAAAAAAACACGTATTTTAGCATCATAGTATTTGGAATATGATACATTTACCAGGCAGTGTTATGTTATGCCTCTCCAAGGAAAGGTTAGAATAGTTTGTCATCGGTCCTTCTCCAACAGGTGAACTTGTAAAAGGTGACTCTGTAAGAGAAAGAAAATGAGATTACACATCCCCGCCAGGACTAAAACAACTATCTAAAAGCCAGTTGGCAACAGCTAAAATGCTAGTGTGTGCCTTAATAAAAGATAATTTTCCGGTTGGGTGTGGTGGTGCATGCCCGTAACCCCAGCACTTAGGAGGCTGAGGCAGGAGGATTGCTGTGAGTTCGAGGACAGCCTGGGCTACAAAGTGAACTCATGGCCAGCCTGATCCTGCCTCAAAAAGAAAAAAAAAAAAAAAAATTCCAGGAACTTCTCAATGCCTTATATAGTCCAAAGATACTCAAGAGTATACTGGATCACCAAATGTGACCAAATTGCTGACTTTTTTTTCCTATGTTATTTCCCTACAAATTTCTGATTTTTGCCAGGCATGGTGGCACACATCTGTAACCCCAGCACTCAGGAGGTTGAGGCAGGAAAATCGCCCATAAGTTTGAGGCCAGCCTAGGCTACAAAGTGAGCTCAAGTTCAGCCTGCATTACATAGTGAGGCCCTATCTCCAAAGGAAAAAAAAAAATTCTGATTTTCTTCTTCAATAAACTTCAGTGTTTTTATTCTACAATTAGATTCTTTACAAAACAATAAAAGAGAAGCTAAGGTAGGCATGGTGGCACACACCTGTAACCCCAACACTCGCCTATAATCCCAACACTCAGGAGGCTGACGCAGGAGGATCCTTGTGAGTTCGAGACCAGCCTGGGCTACAAAGTGAGCTCACAGCCAGCCTGAACTGCACAGTGAGACCCTGTCTCAAAAAGCTAAGAAAAAAAAAAAACATAAAAGAGAAAGTGACCAGAAGAGAAAGCTAGAAAGAGGCAAAGGGAAAACAAAGAGGGGTGAAGGGAGCTATAATACAGGGGACAAGAAAACAAGCAAAGCCAAACGCTTTTGCCAGTGGTGCAGAGCAAATGAGATGACAGTGCATCGTGTTCTGCCCGTGCCCACAGCCGAGCACTTCCTGTGCGCAGCCACTTCCCCTTGCCTCCTGCCACTTCTCTTTCTGAAAATTCTCATGTTCTCCCTGTTCATAAGCCAGTTTTTGTCTTTTGTTTTTATACTACTTACTGCTCCTCTGACAGGGCACCAGACCCTAACCCTCCCAAAAGCAAACCCAACTCCATCAGCCAAGTCAGGGAGGGAAAAGGACTTATTACTGTAAAATGCATTACAAGTGCATTTTAAAAATCTGCCGTCTGATACAAATTAAATCTGAAACTTTTTGGTTGCACTTAAAATACTACTACTCTGTTCACAAAGTTATTCCTAGTGCAAGAGTAGATTTCCAGGCCTTTTCTTTTTTTTTTTTTTTTTTTTTTTGTGTTTTTGAGACAGGATCTTGCTATGCAGCTCAGGCTGGCCTTGAGCTCACTCTGTAGCCCAGGCTGTTTTTGAACTTGCAATGATCCTCCTGCCTCCAGCCTCCTGAGTGCTGAGATTACAGCTGAGATTGCAGGCGTGCACCACCACGCCCAGCTTCCAGTCTTTTTCTTAAAGGGATGACTGTTGACTGCCTTTGTTGCTTTGGCTTTTTTGCATGGTTTTTACAACCCTAACAGAAACTTGTCCCTCACAGAACAGAACTCTATTGTAGGCTGTTTTCCAAAGGGTTAATCACCTCTAATACAGCTTTGGAAGCTGCAGCGCACTTTCTCATAATACAGCATTTTAAAACAGCTCCAATCACTCCATCTCTGACACTGATTACAAAGAAAAGTATGTGCTGAGTTTCTCACTGGGCTGTAAGAAATAGAAAACCTGTCCGCCAGGGATGGTGGTGCACACTGTAATCCCAGCACTTGAGAGGCTGAGGCAGAAGGATCTCCATGGGTTCCAGGCCAAGCTGGGGTACATAGCAAGACCCTGTCCCACACCAAAAAAAATCCATATCCATTAGTCTTTCATTTATATTCATGTTTATCTTCAGATCTTCTCTCCCTCAACACACACACACAGCTAAAAGGTTTCCACCAAAATTCTTTCCATAATGAAAAAGTTTTTCCATTCCTAGTCATAGCCCATTTAAATAATTGAAGAAAAAATATCTCACGAAGATTAATTAAGGGACGTACCACTCACCCACTCACTCACAAATAGGAAGCCAAGAGGGAGTGGGCGGAACGGAAAAAACTGGCCTGTGTCACCTGCTCTAGGAAGTCTGTGAAACAGGAGCTTTGCCACCTCTGCCTCCATGCTAGGGGGCCGCCTTGCTCGGGCCAGCTTACGTGGAATCAGTACTTAGGGGAGTTCTCACCCGCTCCCTCACTCCTGAACAAGTCCATAACTCTTTCGTGTGTCCAGCAGCATTTATTTTTATTCACACTATCACTGATAAAAGAATGGTATAAATGAAACAGCAAAATGCTACCATTCTCATTCTAATGTCACTTCAACAAGGGAACACACAAAGGACCTGACACACGCTGGATGTTGATAACGAGTAGAAGGCTTCATGGATCCTAGCAGGAGCTGCGTGGGTCCTCAATGACTCTGGGGAGTCATTACGATGTCGGAGGAGCCCTCATCACGGTACTGCCCCCAGCCCGTGTATTTATACAAGCGGCAGAGTATGCTGCGGAAGGTGAGGGCCAACTCTGACAGCAGGGTAAGGTGAAGGCAGTGCCAGGGAGAGCAGCAGAAGCGGGGCTATGTTTCTTCTGCTCACCACCAGGACCAGTTATGAAGAACCCGTCTAGGAGCTACGCTAGTACAAGGAGAGGAAAGGGGTCTAAGCTTTGCTTGGGCAAAATCTAAGCTTAAAGCATTTGAAGGAATAGGAAAGGGGGGAAAAAATGGGTTAATTCCAGGGTATACCAGGTGTTCTGGCCACTTCGAATTGCCAGTTCATGTATTATAATTACCGCCAGACACCCACACATTGACACTACTTGCACTTCACACTCTCCTCAAAGCATTCATCTTCATCTCTCTCCACTTTCCACTGAACAAGCGCCAAGTGCTGCAGAACACATACAACTATTGTGATGTGTGCTCCGGAAAAACTATCTTTAAGAAGCAACATACAGGAGTGCAAGGCTAGCCTGGGCTACACAGTGAGTTGTGGATCAGCCTGAACCACATGGTGAGGGCCTGGGTCAAAAAACAGCAACAACAACAACAACAAAGCAGCAATATATACAAAGACCTGAGAAGGGCAGGAGGTGCTGGAGTAGTAAGAGTGAGCAGTTGTATCTATCCGGACAAGACTTTTTTTTTTTAATTCAAAAAAGCAAGAATGTAAACTTTACTGCGTAAGTAGGACGCTGGCAGGAAGAAGAAACTAGCAGGAGATTCCGGCAGATGTGGTTTGAAGGGTTCCAGGAAAGTATCCGGCCGAGTCACAAGAAGAAGAATAAAATCCGGGCTGCAGACATAGCTCAGCGGCACAAGCGCCTGCCTGGCAAGTGCAAGGTCCCGAGTCCAGTTCTCGGTACCAAAATAAAATAAAACGGACAGGCAGGAATTTGGATCCTAGCCCAAGTTTTGCCGGTTACTTGTGGTTTCAAAATGGGATACGCCCATTCAATATTTTGATGACAGCATTTCTCCACCATAACATTCATTTCATGGGAGAAAAAGGGTCAGTGGAGTTATACAAATATCAGGTGATGGTGCCAAGGTCCGTGCCCAGTCACCCTAATCACCTCTCTTAATCAGCGCTTCACACATGGTACGTGGCCTTTACAGCGCTACCCAACGCAAACACACACTGCAGGCCAGAACTCCACGGCAGGCCGTGCTCTGAAGGGTTAACCACCCCTACAGCAGCTGTGGAAGCGGGGTGCAGTTCCTTCTCAGACAATATCTTACAACGTGCTTCAATCATTCCCTAACTACAAAGTAAATTTTACACCTGGCATTCTTTTACAGATAGCGGTAAAACGGCAGAGAGTAACACCCACTAGTTGTTCCAGACGTTAAAAATTTGTTTTCTTGTAACCCCAGCACTCAGGAGGCTGAGGCAGGAGGATCATTGCCAGTTCAAGGCCAGCCTGGGCTACAAAGTGAGCTCAAAGCCAGCCTGAACTGCATAGCGAGATCCTGTCTCAAAAAGACCAAAAAAAAGATGCTGCCCTCATGATCCATGGCCCTAAGACATTACTGTATGTTTCCTACAAAAGAAATACCATGACACCATCACAATCCGGAGTGAAGATCAGGGAACTAACGTTCATGTTACCAGCACATCTCCAAACTCCAGCCGAGTCTCCCTGTCATGTGCTTTTCAGCCAGTGCTCCAGCTCAGAGTCACACGCTGCCATCAGCTGCCATGTCTCCCCGTCCCCTTCCCTCTGGAATTCCACTGAGCGCCCCTGACTTTGTGACCTTGGCACGTAGGAAAGTCTAACAGAGTTCTGTCCTCAAGCGTGCTAAGACCTGGGCTAGGCACTTCGCGGCAGAGCCTCCAGAGAGACGGCTGTGCCCTTCTCACTGTGTCCTATCAATACTGTTTGCATCTTGATGACTTTTCACTTCCACTGTGTGATCGAAGTGGTGTTTCTCAGCCTTCTCCACTGCAGAACAGAACAATTTCCCCTCTGCCTTCGGAACAATTTTGTGAACTTATTTTGAAACTACGCAACTCTTTGTGCCTTGACATTCCATCAATTAATGAATTTCTAGCTGTAAGCACTCAGCAACTACTACATGATTCAGTTGGTTATACTCCATTAGGGTCACTACTAATTCTGACGCTCAGTTGTCCTGGATCTGTCCGAGGGAACCCTTCACGCTGCCCGTGTCCTTTTCACATGAGCCGTCATTCTTTTGAATATTTCTTGCCTTCTGGCACAAAAGCTCCCAGGTTTACTTATTTCTTCCCCACCTCAGCCTCTGAAATCACTCACACTGCCCAGAAGTCCTGGTTACTATTAGTAAAGAATGGTACTTGATTGCAAAATATGGACACTGAGCACACTCATTTCATGAGAAAAACGACTTTCTCCATCTCACTGGACAGAGCTGTGACACAAACCCTCATA